TATTGTGATGGAAACAAATTTGCAAATATAATATTTAATATATTCTAAAAACTTGCAATTAATTTCCTTAGCTATCTCTTACAAACTTAATAAGTCCTTCAAGGTTCGGAGGAAGTTCCATTAGTGGTAGCGGAAAAGTAACTTGTTCATTGTCGCTTCCATTGTCGGACGAAGCAGCATCCCCAGCAAGTTCAGCTAGCATTTCTTCATAAGCTTCGTCTATCTCTGGTTGTGATTCAGCAAGTCCAAAATTTCTTCTTTCTGAATGAATCCAATCTCTGAAAGTACTGATTTATCCAAGCTATCCCTCATAGACTGTCTATGATCACCGATTTGAAGTTTTGCTTGACTGAAAGCGCTCTCCGATGTCATTGTTGAAGCTTGAATAGTTAAAATGTCTCGGGCCATCCTTGAAAGAACCGGAAAGTGTTTTGTTTGTCCTTCCACCATTGCAAAATATCAAAGGTTACGTCGGGATTCACTTCCTCGAGCCTCTGCGACAAATAAACTTCAAGCTCATTTAGCTGTGAAAAATCATTACTACTAGAACTAAAATAACCCTAAACCCTGCCCAAACACTATGTCTTCTTCTCCCGCAATTCTTTTAGAAGATTGAGAATCAGAAGAAGAAGGAGTTGAAACATTTGGTCTAGCATGATTTAATGCAACTTGATAAGCATTATAAATAGTTTCAGCGTTTGTTCTAATTGAGGCTATTGCTTCTGGAAGTTTAGGCTCCTCACCATTTTCAAGTGCTAAACCCTTATAAACAGTTTTATACCAAAATTGAGGACCTCCTAATTTCATACAAGGATTTAACATATTAGTAACACCATAAATAGCGGGAATAGAGAAAAAATATTTTTTAAACTTTCTTCTCATAGAATCAATAACAAGTTGATAAATTTTCCCACCCTGTGAAAAATAAGCAAACAAATTTGCAAGTTCTGCAATATAAACCAATCAGTTAGAAATAGTAGAGGATAATATTGTCCTGAAAATTCTTTTGTAGCAATATGATAGTTTTCTAAAAAATCAACAAGCATTTTAACATTAGCCCAATCCCCATTCGTAAGGTAATCGTCATCATCACTTACATGTGCATTAAACGCTGAACTTATAGGTTTCTATAGTCATATGCAAATACCAAACTTTCATACATGTATTTCCATCTAGTTGAATAAGGTTTAGGAACTTTTCTTTCTCTTAGGCCACAATCATCGCACCTTCTAAAATATTCTCCAAGTCTACTTCTACGGTTAGAATGAAAAAGCCAGTTAAGAGCCATTTTAACCTTTTAAATTTGAATATTTAAAATTCTCATACCATCACCCACAATTAAATAGTAAATATGACAAATACATCTAACATGAAAAATGTTACTACATGCAGGATTTAGCGTAGTGGTAAGCAAGTCTATATCATTTGTGTTATTAGTAGCATTATCCATTGAAACCGACATTATTTTATCACTAATGCAAAAATATCTGCAAATATCCGTAATTGTGCTAGCAATAAACTGCCCTGTGTGCCGTGAAACAGTTATGCGCTTTTGCATTATGCAATCCTCATCAATCCAATGACATGTAGCAGTAAGGTAACCACAGTCGTTGTTACTTCTACCAATATCAGTTGTAATAGCAACACGACAATTTGTATGAGTAAATAAGTAGCGCAAAAATTGTTCATATTTATGCTTATATTTATAAATATCGCTCTTTACGGTTGTGCGAGGAAAATCTTTACAAGTAGGATTATAAATTTTTCTAATGTAATGCGCAAACACAAGGTCAGAAGGAAAATTATAGGGTAAGCACATAACAATTACCAATTTTGCCAATTCTTCCCGATTTTTTCTTGGATCATAATATAAAATACAACCGGTAATGGTGTTAATTACCGGTTGAAATTGATTTGAACTAGTACCTAGGACTAGGTGCACTTTTCCCCTCGGCCAGAACTTTCATATGAAGAAATTTGGCGTTATCATTAGGGTGTTTAGCTATGTGTCTAGCCAAAGTTCCCGTCCGATATTTAAAAGTTAATTTTAGTCCACAAGTTTTATACTTAGCCTTACTTTTTTCAACTAGTTGAGTAAAAAATGGCCAAATAACAGATGTTTGCGCCCGTTTGGTAGGTTCTCTAGAAAAAGTAGGGGCAGTAACATGAGTATCGGTTAGGTCATCATTAGGATTAGTAGCGTTATCACTAGTTGGGTCAACATCAGGAGCATGACTAGTGGGTGTATCATCGTCCGGTTGAGTTTCATCAAAATTAATTTCCTCATCATTTTTTTTAGTAATATTAGTATAATCATTAGTGTAGAGAGCATTCATTAATTCATGGTCTAAAAAATTACCGGGTGCAATATTATGGCAAAATTCAGTGTCGGTAAATTGTAATAAACTATTATTGGTATCAAGAATAGCAGAGGCAAGACGGCTACAGGGTTTGGATCGGGGAGCCTGGGGCGGGGAGGAGGAACAACAGTACTACTAGTTTCGCCAGTCTTAGATTTTTCCTTATTCTTACTTTTACCGTGCCCAAAAATATTTCTTAAGGAAGACATCTTAATTAATCAAGTAATAACAACTAAATAAAACAAACAAAAATGATATATTAAGAGTTTACCGAATTGACGAACTTGTTAAAAATTGATTATCGTTGAAGACTCCAATTCATCAACTCCATAATTTTTTCACAAATTCTAACAACCTCAATATTTTTTGACTTTGAATAAAGTAAGCAATAGTAAACTCACTATTTTTTTTTTTGATAAAGTAAACAATTGTAGCAAGTATTGAAGAAAATTAGAGAGAGGTTTTGATAGATTGATAATGATTTTGTAAGAAAAATGAAAGAATGAGGGGTATTTATAGTAGAAAATAGGAAAAAAGTGTAATAATAAAAAGTTTGGGGTTAAAAATTAGTTTGGGGTGGGGTTAAATGACTATTTTTTGAAGAGCCAATGACTTTTTTTAAAAAACAAAATTCCGCTGGGCCCGTTTGGTCCGGTCCCATGATGGGCCAAACGGGCCTGGTCCTAAATGGTAAAACCGGCTCACGAGCCCACCAATCGCGGGCCAAATAGTCCTAGTCCGTTTAGCCCGCGGGTTCGGTCCCAGCACGGCCCAGTCGCCAGCTTTAATAAAAACACACTTGTTTTAGTCATGTTAGCTCTTCTACTTTACATCCTATGCTTTCTAGGAGGGGTTTAGCCTTTTGAGAGATTTATACGTTATGCAGTAGAAAATGTAAACTTCTTATACTTTACTTTTATTTTGTATAATATTGGCCTGAGATGATTTTAGATTAAGTTTGGTGAGAATTCTTATAACCGACCCCCAACTCGTTTGAGATTGATGCATAATAGTAGTAGTTGTACTTCAAAATTTTGATTCAACTATTAAAGTCGTGTTCAAACTGTGATTTTAGACAATTACAGAGGATTAACTATTTCAACCATATGTCATTATTTATTATTAGTTTAGTGATGAAATTTGCTCTTCAAAATTGCGATTTGCTTACTGTTGGATTAATCGTAAGAAATCTCATCTTGGGAATCATGATCTAAATTTTGAGCATTCTGATAGAAAGACACTTATATCATATTTGACAATGGTTGGAATGAAGGAAGAAAGCTGAAACCGGTCGTTGAATCTAACCTGAGAATGAGAATAAAGGTTGGAGGTCCCGAAGCTCCTGCGACTGCAAGGTTGCATAATACCACAGTAGGCCCCTTCGACTATTATAAAGTACGCCAAACAAAGGTGGGTGGGAGGTGCTGGGTTGGAATTGATGCTTTGTTTGAGCGCAAAGCAGGGACTTGCACGGCATGTCTGAAGAGTGAATCCAGGGTGAGTAAAGAACTCTATGATAAAGTTCCATCAATTGGTTGGCGCATAGTGACACTAACAGAGTAGGAAACTAATATCAGGCTTGGAAATTACACCCCTATTAAATAAAGCAAGACGTCAAACCTTTATCTATAGAAAATGATGGCGCTGAAGATACAGGGAGGAGGGATTCTGACAAATCGTTATGGGCTCTCCAGAAACTCATCAATTTGGTAAATCCCTGGGCATCTCAACCAATGGGTATGCCCTTATCCCTGTCATCAGAAGAAGGAATGAGGCCTTATCCCTGCTTATCAGAATAGAAAGAAATTAGAAGGAGAGAAGGGCTAGCAAGGAGAACAAAAACCTATTTATTGCTAGGGAACCTGAATAGAGATGGAGGAACTCAGTGGACTTGAAGTGATCGGCATCTCCAATAAACTACGGCGAGAGGCATAAAGAGATATGAAAAGTGGAACAGTAAAGAAAGATCAAGCAAATTATCTGATATCCTACAGTAGAGAAGCTGAGTTGGGCTGTAGGATTTAGCTGTTCAGTTATCTTTGAGAGCCCATAATGTGAAATTGAAGGAGAGGTAGTTGTGAGGAGGTAATGGCTGGCGATTGGGGGACCAATACATTACATTAACTGACAAGCCGGAGAACTTCAAAGAAGAAGGGGAATCCGTGTATTAAATGGATTAACTGGACCTGAGGAGAGAGTTTGACAATGAGGCATAGGTGAATAACAATTGGAATCCATAAGGGAAAAGGCAGAGGTTTGCGGTTTCTCTCTCTTTGCATCTCTAGATAAAGCAGGGCACATATTAGGTTAATAGTAGGTTGCGTTATCTGGTAGTTTGATGTACTTTTCTTGTTGTGTCCTGACACTGGCTTGGTGCGAAATTAGTAAAATTATTTTGAATCATAAAAAAAAATGCAGAAGTTCTAACATTTACACTATGCTAATATCCAATGTGTGTTTGAAATCTTGCAATAACTAACGTCACTTTGCATTTGGTATATTAGCCAGTGTTGCTCTCATCAGTTATCTAGATTTTTATGAAAAATTGTGAATAGGCTTTCAGTTCCGTTCACCACTAATCAGGTTGTGAATATTCAAGCAGTGCTTGTTCACGGACTTCTTTTGAGCATTTTGTTGCAGGGTAAGCCTAACACATGTCTCTCTGGAGCAAAAAGGAAAGCTATCTCACCGCTAGTGGAGGTTACCAGTGAGCCTCCATCAGGCAATGTTCCAAAGAAAAATGGTAAAGAGGACTGGAGTTGTGCACTTTGCCAAGTTAGTGCGACGAGTGAGCGTGGTCTGAATGATCACCTCCAAGGAAAGAAGCATAAGTCCAAGGAGGCTGCTTTAATATCACAGAGGAATGGGAAGAACTATAGTATCGGTCTTTTCCCAAAGAAACCAAAAGTTGACGACAATCTCAACATAAAACCGAAAGTTAAATTCTTGCCTGGTAATAAATCAGTGGAGGGAACATGTCTTGAGAGTTCGGAGAAAGAAGGTACAAAGGACAACATCACACCATCTTCGCAATCCCATGCTGATGGCCTGGAAAAAGGTGCAAATGCAGCTCAGGAAAAGAAGCAAAAAACTAAGGAGACTAAGAAGAAAAAGTTCAAATTTTGGTGTGCAACATGCAAAGTAGGGGCTTTGTCAGAGAAATCGATGGAGGCACATAGGACAGGGAAGAAGCATATGGCTCGGCTCCAGGAACTCAATGACCGCGGCGTTGCTAATGAAACACCAAAAGATGTCGAAAAAACTGAAGTGACCGATGATGTGAACCCCAAAGAACAAGAAGAAGCGTTCACCACAGGTGATAACTGAGTTCGGCCATGTTCAGGACAATCAGATTTATGTTAAGATGTAGAGGTTAGAAGAATCGTGAGGTGAACTGTGGCAGCTTGTTATTTGAAATCTTAACTAATCTAAGAGAAGTTTCAGTTTTTGCAAAAATGGATGAACTATGCAAGAGGTGTTTAAAATTGAAAAGCTTTTTGAAATGGCGTTTGGTTGGAAAAAATATTACGGAAAAGTTGAAGGGCCCGTTAGGCTATAAAAACATTCATTTTTTTAAAAAGAATTTCACTTTTTTTCGGTATCATCGTTTTGCCATGAAAATTTTAAATTTCACTTGGAAGTTGATTCGAAATTTGAAAATTTTCAAAAAGCTATTTTTCAAAATTTTTAACTTTAAAACACTCGCGATAATTCAAAAATAGCTGCAGATTGTATTCATGTCCGAACACAACTCTAATTATTTTTTTTGGAATTTCACAATTCTTATGTCCAAACACCTACTAATTTTCTCTCCTTGAACAAAAGTTTGGCCATAGTTTATTCATTAGTTGTTTCCCTTTATGGTTATATCACTCTTTTGGCGGATAGGAAGTCCATTCCAAGAGGGTACCAAAGAAATAAAATTTCTTGAGTAATATAATCTCATGGAAGATTGTTAGTTGGTTCGAAATGGCAAATATACGATTTGGTATAAATATTGGGTGTAATATTTTTAAATATTGATTGCAATGTTTTTGAACATCGGTGTCATTGCAATGCAACTTATGAGACATTGACCCATATTATTGGAATATTTTCTTTTATTGAATTTAGTCTATAAGCTTGTTTTCTTTAATTTCTTATTTTTATTGTTCTACATTAGTTTTAGTTAATTAAATTTTCTTTTAGGGAAATGTCACTTGAATAAATTTTTAACAATAGTTTATAGTTGATAGTAAGGATTCATAAGATGATACTTTATTCACTATTACTTTATAAGAGGAATTTATACATAATACAACTTCTTTAACGCTTATTTATTAAAGTTACAACTGCTTTTAGAAAATTTCACAAAATACATTTTATTACAATTTTTTAACTTTTTAATTAGATTACTAAGTTCATAAACTCCTAAAATTTCTCCCCTAAACGTGGGACACGGGCACAAACAAATTGTTAAGTGGTCAGTTACACGTTACCTAATTTTTTAGACTCCTATAATATCTCAACCATCCCTGTATTAATCATTAATACAATCAAATCAAATTCACTCTCAAAAGAAACATGCCTTTTCAGTTTTAAATTATAGAAGGTTTTCATTTTTTTTTCTCCCTTACAACCTCGACAAACCATACAAGGCTTGGGAATTTTGCAGCCGAAAGTGTTCGCTTTCCCCAAAGTTTTTTTGACAATGTATGATTTTATATTATATATACTATATTGTTATTGTATATGTTAATAATATATATATATTTTATTGTATACATTTAATTATATATACATTATATTTGTTTCCCCCAAGTTTGCTTTTTANAAGTTTGCTTTTTCTTTATCTCTCCATCAGCAAAATGTCTTTACTTTCCCCAAGTTTTTATATGATGTATTATTGTATATAATATGTTATTGTAAATTTTAATTATATATATATAGTATACAAACATTGAACTGGAAAAAAAAAAAGAAATATTATTAACAAATATACTATACTAGTATAATATATGCTAGAATATACACACACTATGTATTACTGTATATTTTCTTTAGATAATGATTCCTTCAATGTATCCAATAAAATTTTGGGTCTTCTTAATTTGATTGATTAATTTTGTACAGTTAGAGAAACATGAGATTTTTTTGATGTATCAACATATGGTTATGAGATATTGTTATAATTGTCATTAATAATTAACAAAATGGAGAATGTTTAAGGGCTAATTGTGGGATATGTTATTCCCCTTTAATAGGAAATCTTGCGTACTTGTAGGTATATTTTTATACATTTGTTGTAGAATATGTTATTCTATTATTAGTTGTACATTATGAAATATTTTATAAATTCCTAAGTGATTATGAAAACTTCCCTTATTTATTTTCATATATTGCATATTATTATAAGACTAGAGTTATTTATTTGAATATCACATTGCAAAAAGAAGTATAAAATCTAGTATCTTTTTAATAATTTTATAATATCTAATAATATATAATTTAAAATTTTTGGGGCCCTACAATTTTAGGGGGGCCAGCATATCTTTTTATCTGAACCATCACCTAGTGAAAATGTTAAGTTAGTCAGAATAATTTGGTAGACTATGATTTGAACCAATTATTCTTTCTAACAGTTTGTATATTCATACAAAGACTTATTTTTCAACGGATGCTAATTATAGATTTACATTTTTTTCACCATGTGTATAACTTCTTTTATGTGTGGTTTTAAGCGTCAAGCCCCTGAGTCATTTAGAAGCAGTTGCACCTTACACTCATATATATGATGGACTTTCTAGTATTTGGCCAGTGAAGTGATAAGCGCTTTAACTTATACTACAACAAAAAGGAGTCATTTGATACGATGAATATTAAGTGTGGGAGCTGGTAGAAAAATGAGGCCACATTGTGGACATCGTATAATGTTCAGATAAATAAGACAACCAAACACGTGATATATATATAATAAAAACAATTACGACATATATATAAATAATAAAACAACCAACGTATACAATTATTTTGTCCGCGATGTATAACATACATTCTGAGGCAACAAACATATTTTCAAGGCGACAGTATGTTATGTAATTAAGAATAGCATAACATACTGTCTAGTATAGTTGGACAGCCATGTTCTAGTATAGTTGTATTTCCTCAGCAACTTTCGATCCCATGCAAGTTGGAGACCTTGTCTTAGAGCCAGTATTTCAGCTTGGATTGGTGAAGCTGCATGTTTTTTTTTTTTCTTGAAGCCAACTATCTACTCACCCTTGTGGTTTCTGATTACTTCGCCAATTCCACATTCAAGAGTAGTACTATTGAAAGCACCATCAATATTGAGTTTAAACTAACCATTTTCGGGGGTGCCATGCAACAAGAATCTGATTTTTTATTCAATTATAAGAGCTTTTATTGTCAAAATTTATATTCCACAGTACTAAGAGTAACTCTTTCTACATTGATTTAGAGGCTCATATTATATACTGTGATGATTGTTATTACGGTTGATCCAAGGTTGCAAATGGCAAAAGGAAACATATCCTCCCAAGTCATGTTCTTATGGTGTATGTATATGTGTGATGATCTTTAGAACATAAGCCAGTGCCGGTTGGAGGTCGAAGAAGCACTTCGTCGTCCCACGTTGTCTCAGAAGGTTTGTGCAATAGGGAAGTTGAGGAAAATATGTGAGATGGTCCCAGTACCCTGCTTGCACATTGTGAAAATAGGATCAAAATTAATGCCAATGTAATTACGGTAATCGATCTCTACATGGTAGTCATCATGAAAGCATTGCCAAAAGCATAAGCTTAAATTTATTCGGGCAATGCATTTTCTAAATCCAACTAAAGTCTTTCGCTAGCTTGTTATCATTATTATCTTTAATAATTGAATAACATGATATATCTGTAATGACACGACGGGTCGTTTTGAGCAATTACGTCCAGTTCGACAGTTTGAGGTCATGAATAGCTTCACATAGTGTATTATGACTTGCGTGCATCGGCGGCTTTGGTTTTGAGTGGTTCGGAATTGATTTTGAAGGATGACTTTCACTTGAGAAGCTTGAAGGTGAAAAAATTGACCAAGTTTGACTTTTGTGTATTTGACCTCGGATCGGAGTTTTGATTATTCTGGTAGGTTCGGATGGTGATTTTGGACTTGGGCGTATGCCCGAATTTGCATTTGGATGTTTCTAGAAGGTTTCGGCACCATTTGGCGGAAGTTGGCAATTTGAAGGTTTAAAATTTTCCTAAGCATGACCATGGCTTGACTTTAAGGCTATCGGGTTCAGATTTTAGTTTCAGGACATGGAGTAGGTCCGTTTCGTCATTTGGATCTTTCCTACAAAATTTGGTGTCATTTGGACTTGGTTTGATGTGGTTCGGACGCTTGGTTGTAATTCTAGAATCTTGAAGTTGAGTGTGATTTTCATGCGTTTTGGCATTCGGTTCGTAGTTTTAGATGTTATTTGGGTGTTTTGATTGTGTGAGAGAGTTCATATGATATTTTTAGACTTGTGCGGATGTTCGATTTGGAGCCCTGAGGGCTCGGGTGAGTTTCGAATTAGTTTCGCATTGTTTTGTTAAGAATTTTGTGTGTTGGTGCTGGTGCCATCGTAATTTCGACGAGCATGTCGCAAATGTGACTATCACATTTGTGAGTACTTTCTCGCTTTTGCGAACCAGGGGAGGATTGGGAATTTATTGCAAATGCGATGCTGGAGTCCAATTTGCGACTCTGGGTTGTCCGCTTTTGCGATGACAATGTTTGCTTTTACGATTGATGTTGCTTCACATTTGCGAAGATTTTGATCGCAAATACGATCTTCGTCTTGTCTGTCAGGGTTCGCTTTTGCGATACCTTGTCCGCATTTGCGAACCCCATGTCGTAAATGCGACATTTGCAGCTGGTTTATAGCTGAGCACTTCGGGACCTAGCTTCATTTTAATATATTTTGAACCCTAGACTCGGTAGGAGGCGATTTTGCGAATATATTTTTATCTACAAACATTGGGTAAGTTATTCTAATCAAATTTCAACTATATTTCATAATTATATATTAGATTTAACATCAAATTTAATAGAATCAAATAGGAAAATTTGGGGATTTTTGTCAAAGTTTTGGAAAATGAAGATTTGAGTTTTGAGAATCGATTCCGGCTTGGATTTGAAAACAAAATACATATATGGACTCGTGGAGTTATGGGTAGTCAATACCTATCCTTGGAATCGGGCTTTGATCGTGGGGGCTCGGGGTTGACTTTTGTTGACTTTTGGGGAATTGTATAAAGATCATAACTTTATTAATTGAAATTGGTTTCTCTTGCTTTGCTTGATATTGTTAAGTTATTTTTGGCTAGATTTGAGTCGAGCGAAGATGAATTTTAAAGGGAAAATCTATTTGAGTATTGATCTGGCCTAATTGAGGTAAGTATCTTGCCTAACTTTGTGTGGGAATAATTACCCCTTACGTTTTGGATTGATGATACTATTTGAATTATATGGAAGACGT